CTGTCACTCTGCTTCACCATTGTTTCAGTAAATTTATTCAGGTCTGATTTGAACAGAGCTGTGGGCACTTACAGTATTCTGCAACTATTTTTGGTACTCTGCAGGGCTGCGGAGACACATAGACGACAGTTCCAGGGTTCTTGTTGGCATAATCCACAACTCCCTCCTCGATAAAATCCCTGAAAAAGCAGATTAACTGTATTACAGTTTGGTAAGGGTGACAGAGTTTTTTGTTTGTTTTTTGAGCCATACCTGCCAGTTATTTTCATTACTGGTTAATAAATTATTATACATTTGTTTAAACTACACAGTCTGAGCACAGCTGTATAAGGTGGAAAATTAAATGACAATCATATAATTTAATTTTATGCTTTGTGCTACTTTTCATTTAAAAAAGAAATGCATGAACAGTTAAATAACTGATAAGAAAACAAACTTGGGGGAAAAAAAAATCTTTCCAGATGACAGACATCACCCTGCAATTTTCAGATATGAATTTTTAAAAAACATTTTCTTTAAAAGACAATTTTAGAAGACCACAGACTCCATGTTTTAATTGGTTAATGTGAAGCTGGACCCTTTCACTATTATAATGCAAATGCACAGAATTTGGCCTATTTTGTGTGTTAGCAAGCAGATAAACAGCTTAAAATGAATTAACAGAAACATTATTTTTATCTTTAGGCTACTGAAGTCACAGAACATTCAGTCATGAAGTCAGAAACTATTCTGAGCAGTGAAAAATTCTGCTGAGAGTCTGCAAATGTAACTGCTGCTAGCATCATGATGTGGCGTTTGAACAATAAAGGGCTGTTGGTGATGTCTGTCAGCATCTACTGCCAGTGCTAAAAGATTCTTCTACTATTTATGATCCCTGAATCCATATCACAGGAATGTGATGATCATCTGGCTTTCTGATTGTGTGTTACAGAAGCAGGTAGTGCATTTGAGCCTACATGCTATAATAGGAACTGCAAAAAACCTGCTTAACTGCACATTTTTGGGCCATTTCTAAAATACTCTATCAGTTACACCTTGTCAGTACTGGGTTTGACCGCCTTTTGCCCTCAGAACTGGCATTATTCTTTGTGGCATAGATTCAACAAGGTGCTGGAAACATTCCTCAGAGATTTTGGTGTATATTTACATGATAGCATCACATAGTTGCTGCAGATCTGTTTGTTGTACATCCTTGTTGCAAACCTACTGCTCCTGCTACTAAAGATGCTCTATTAGATTGAGATCCAGTGACTGCGGAGACCATGTGAGTACAATAAATTCACTGTCATGTTAATGAAATCATATTGAGAGGATTTCAGCTCTGTGATATGACATTAGAAGGTGACTTGGGTTCATTATCTTGCCCAAGGATACTTTGCTATGTAGACCGGAGGAGCCGGACATCAAAACACCAACTTTCTGATCAGTTGGTGACCCGCTCTGCCTCCTGAGCTACAATTCATGATTTCATGTAGTTTACACCAAATTCTGACTCTTCCATTCAAATGTTGCATCATTTCCAATTTTCTATTGTCCAGCTTTGGTGTAGGTTCAGTTTCCTGTTCTCAGCTGAAAGGAGTGACATCAGGTGTCTTCTGCTGCTGTAGCCCATCTACTCCAAGGTTTAACGTGCTGTGCTTTCACAGATGCTCGTCTACATCTTTAACTTTCTTCAAAATTCTGATGCTCGCTTGGACTTCATCTGGTCTTTGGCCATGTCTACATGTGTTCGGTTGCTGCCATTGTGATTTGCTCATGAGATATTTGCATTAACGAGTAGTTGAAAGGGTGTTCCTAATGAAGCGGCAGATGAGCATATTGTATGCTATAACGTTATGACAAATAGATTTTTAACCTGCTATTGACTTACAGCATCTTTTGGATTCCTCCACCGGGAAAGACGGCTGATTAATGAAAATAATGAGGTACAAGACTGACGTCAACATAATGGACTGGGATCTAATCTGAGAATAATTACAAGATCTAAATCAATAAAAGTGCTAATCAGGAAACCAAGTAATCTCTTAGATTTTTTCAAGGCCGTGATTGAGAGGAACTGTCTACATAAACTATCAAAGACTTCTTTTACCTGGCTCCCAGCGAACTCTGAGCCTTTTTGGAGAAGACGATGGAGATTCGTTTTAGCTGGCAAACGTACCGACCGACGCCATTTTGAAGGACACTTCTCAAAAAACGACTCGGTGTCCCTCTGGAAGTCATCGTTAATCTGCTCTTTTTCTACTGCTGCACAAAAATAACACAGTCAAACACACTAAACGGTAACAAGGCTCTCAGAGGACAACCTGACGGGCATGTACACAGCGCTGTCCGTCAGTAACAAGTTCCGGAGTGAAACGCATAGCTGACATAACGGTTAACAAAAAAAGATACCTTCTAGAAGAAGACTTCTTTCGTTGACAAATTAAACGTCAAACCATTAAATTTATTTTCTACTATAAAAATGATCACGTTAAGTATAATTTAAAAGGTAAATATGTGTTAGTCCAGCTTTCCGAATATCTAGTCTTCCGTATAGTTCTAGTCCGTATAGTTCCGTATAGTTCATACGGACTTGTTTTGGAAACGCACCGAAAAGCCCGGGTTAGAGTGGAGCATGGGAGGAGAGGAGGACAGATCTCAGAGACTGTAAGTTGTTCTTTTTCGGCCTCGTGTTTTATTAAACGCCACTAACTTTTGAGTGATGCTTTCATACGCCTCCATGATCATTTTCATGTTCGGTATGTCTCCGTTTGACAAGAAAATAACGGTTTTCTGCCTCGCTGCCTCTCTTTAATTTGACTGTCTAGGTCACCCCAAAACTTTGCTGTGCTTTTCCTATATTAGGCTGCTGGTTTCCTCATGTCTTGGTGTCTTTTTGCAGGTTCAACGTGCTGACCACATAACCAATGTGGAGAGGCTTGCTGCTGAGGAGCTCCACCTGTCTCTTGCAGGTGGGAGCCCCAAGGTTTCTCCTCCAAGGATGTTTTACATCTCCATTTTTGAGACCTCTACCAAAGAGGCTGCTTCACGGGCCATTTCCAATACCTTGGGGTACAGGCTACTTCCTGACACACACTGGGACCAGAGGTTATAAAAAAGACACCAAATCTACTTTAGAGTTCCCTGTGACCCCAGTCACAGTCACAGACATCAAACAGTATCTACGCTCCAAAGATATTCCCTTCCACGATGGTTACAGCTGCCTCCACATTCCCAGCATCTTTGTGGATTTGTCAACCAGGAAGGAGGTCTTCTCGCTGTTCATTGACAAAACCACGGGACAGTTTCTGTGCAAGGACACGCTGGTGGAGGGGAGCTGGGAGGACCTCCAGGACTGTTTGGAGGTGATGCAGAAGGATGGGGAAGAGTCCCTTAACCCTAATGTGCTGCTGGGGTATCCGGAGAGTGTGGAGGAGCAGGAGGAGAGAGAGAGGGAGCTGAGAGAGGTGCAGAGGATCTGGTCCACCTCTGTGCCACTCACTGACCTCCCAGAGGATGAAGCTCAGCTGATTAAAACCATTTTCCAGGTATTATTCTGTGTTATTTGTTTTTCTTAATTCAAAAGATGACACGAGCAGCTCGTGAACAGCTTCCCCAGAGCTGTTGCCCTCACCACACATCTCCCTGCACTGATTACAAAGATAGATCGGCAACAACTAACACACACACACAAACATCCTCAGCTCTGTGACAAACATATGTGCACATACACAACCATTCTCATCCTCTGAGACTGCTAGTACCTGAATGTAAAGTCACTTTAAACATATATATATTTATTTTGTTAAATATGGTGGTGTATGTACAAGACCTTACCTTTTCCTTTACAGTGTCATCTGGCGCAGTAATATTTGTCAGTGTTTTGTTTCAGATCACAAAGATCTCCAATGCAACCCTCAAGAAGTTTGGAGTGAGATTATTCAAGCCAACCAAGAGCCTGGTTTTTCCCTGGTTTGGTGGACCTGATTCCTCTTTAAAAGGGGTCAAGCTCCTGTCAGCTCAAAGAACAGAAACTGACAAAGTTACATATAATGAAGCTACAGTCCCAAAGTCTAACTCCTATTACAACTTGTTTGGCCTCCCTCTTGTGGGACGTCTGGACTCGGAGCTGGTGGTGACGGGTCACGAGTTTGACACGATGGCTGTGAGTCAGGCCACAGGACTCCCGAGTGTTGCTCTTCCTCGCGGGGTCAGCTGCCTTCCTCCAATCCTGCTGCCCTACCTGGAGCAGTTCAAGCGGGTGACTCTGTGGCTGGGGGGAGACATTCGCTCCTGGGAGGCGTCAAAGATCTTTTCTCGCAAGCTGGGCATCAGGCGTTGCTCTCTTGTGCGGCCCGGTGAGTACCGGCCGTGTGCGGTGGAGGCTCTGGCCCGAGGTAAAAACTTAAGCAACATCATTAAAGCCTCGATCCCAGCGGCCCATAAGTCCATAGTGTCCTTCAAGCAGCTCAGAGAGGACGTTTACGGGGAGCTCGTCAACACAGATCAGGTGGCTGGAGTGAAGTGGACGAGGTTTCTTGAGCTCAACAGGATTTTGAAGGGACACCGCAAGGGAGAGCTGACTGTTTTTACAGGTACTGTGTTAATAATAATGACGTTTTAAGACTCAGGAACTAATTAGTTGTTTTTTTTTAAATCCCAAGAAATCATAACCAAAATTAAGTAATTTCTTCCCTTTTTAAAAGTGATACAAACAAAACTCATACCATCATAAAACAGGAATTCTCTGGTAATCAATATCTCTGTGGATAATGGATCTTTCTTCCACCACTTCTAGGTAGCCAAATATCAAAGCCAATTTATAAGCAAGCAGATTTAAATTCAGTCTTTTATTGTTCTGCCCTGAGTTGCGATCGAGTTTCACAACAACAACAAAACAAAAACCATACCTGATTGAAGTTTGGATGATATCTTCTTCAAGATGGTCTCATTTGTCAGTGCTGCAGCGCTTTCAAAACTGCTCCTGTTTTTCCCTTTTCTGACTTCTCCAGCATTGTGGCTATTTTTGGATCAGTCAGTGAAAGTCCCAACATGCTTCTTTATATCTGCAATTTCCTCATGGAACTTCAAACATGTGAATAAAAAATCCACTTCCTGGTGTCCCAAGACTTTTGAGAGGTGTCCCATTGTGTGCCACCATGATTGCTTTGCATTAACTCAGTGAATGAAATTTAAATTGAATCATCACTGTTACAACACTGAAAAAGACCCACTGCATTACCTAGTTGAATGAATGCTAAAAAGCTGTGGAAGTCATGCAGCACTGCTCAAGGACCTTGAACCGGAGATAGGCTGACTTAAATTCAGCCACAATGTTTGATAAAAAAATCAAACCGCGTACTTTCTTTAAAGGAAGAGGATGTAAAACACACACAGCTGGCCAAGTTTTTACTTTTCACTAAAGTGTCCTGAAGTATGATCGCTTTTTAGTTTACCAGTTTAAATATAAAGTACAAGTACTAGCTTTATTAACCCAATACGCAATCATGATGTTCCTTCACCAGGTCCTACTGGAAGTGGAAAAACCACCTTTATCAGTGAGTTGGCCCTGGACCTTTGCATGCAGGGTGTCAACACTTTGTGGGGCAGCTTTGAGATCAACAATGTCCGTCTAGCCAAGATCATGCTGACACAGTTCGCCATGCAGAGGCTGGAGGAGAACCTGGAACAGTATGATTTCTGGGCAGACAAGTTTGAAGAGCTGCCGCTTTACTTCATGACTTTCCACGGGCAGCAGAACATCAAGTAAGTCTTATTAGTACTTCAGGGATCCATTAAGTTCTTTTATTGAAGAGGTTTGCTTTGTTTTTGAACATAATCTTGATAGTTTGATCACTTCTCGTTGGAGTGTGGTTGCTCAGTCAGTAAATGGCTACGTCTACACTAATCCGGATACATTACGTTTTGTTTTTGTCTAAAAACGCTCCGCGTCCTCACTATCGTTTTCAATCGTTTCAGAACAGTTGTTCATCCGCACTGAAACGACTGAAATGCTTACGCTCCTGTATTGCGCATGTGTGAAACGTAAGACGATTCAACCTGCGTTATTTCTGTCTGCCGTTTTTTTACTTTCCGGCTCTTTGAAACATCACGGCAAAATGTCGAGGAAAAGCACCGAGTTTTTTAAATGGACTAACAATGAAGTGGAGATGTTGCTACAAGTAACACAAAAGTACAAAGTTGCAAAAGCGAGTGAGAATTAATGAATTTGAAGAAAAGCTATCTGGAGCATGTACAAACTGATATTAATCTTTAATAGGGCTTTCAAAATTGAGAGCAAACAAAATAACTGCTATATAATGCCCTGTGCTATCTTAGTTTAATTGGTTACATGACTGCATCATATGACTAAAATGCGTCATCGTTTCCGAAAGTCTCTGTTTATGCAGCCTACACTGCCTTTCCGCTTTGGCGAGCATTTTCAAAAAGCTCTGTTTTCCTTGACTGAAAACACCATCTCAGTGTGGACAGAAGGCCAAAACGGAGAGAAAAAGATACGTTTTCAAACGAAAACATATTAGTGTGGACATGGTCTAAGACCCTCTGACTCCTGTCCAATTTTGCCTACAGGACAGTGCTGGACACCATGCAACATGCTGTCTACCTCTATGATATCAACCATGTCGTCATTGATAATCTGCAGTTCATGATGGGACAAGAAAACCTCTCAGCAGACAAGTAAGATAGAAAATGTTGTATATCTGGTGTGTGATGATGTCATGTTAGTGCTGTTATTGGTGTGTTAATGCTGTATGGAAATACAATGTTCTCATGTACCTCAGGTTTGCAGTCCAGGACCACATTATCGGGGTTTTCAGGAAGTTTGCCACAAACAGCACCTGTCATGTCACCCTGATCATTCATCCGAGGAAAGAGGAGGATGACCGAGAACTGCAAACGGCATCAATCTTTGGTTCTGCTAAGGTAAGGTAATGGTAGAAAATACTGAAGGAACAGTTGAAAATGACAAATTGTTGGCAGACAGATACTGTACATTTAATGTACAATGTTCAGTTATCCTCTTAACATTGTCACAGTCACCAGTGACCTGTTTGGGGTGATGGTCAGCTTCAAATGTACCCTATTTGTGGGTATTTCCCCTATCTGGCATTCGCAAATTAAAATATTTTAACAGGAGAACTAAAAGGGCCAAAATAGAATCACAGCATCGATAGGTTGTTATTGTGAGAGTAATAATAATTTTGTTCATACTCATCAAAATAGCATGGGTATCATTCTATTTTGATTCTTAAAATCAATATCTAAAACATTTTAATAAATAAGCACATCTCTTGACTTGCTGTTTCAATAAAATACATTTATGATTGCTGTCTTCACAAATTTGCAGTTTTCCAATTTAAGTAAGACACGTCTTGACTTTTAACTCCTTCCAGGCCAGCCAAGAGGCCGACAACGTCCTCATACTGCAGGAAAAGAAGCTGGTGACATGTCCCGGCCGCAGATCCCTGCAAGTGACCAAGAACCGCTTTGATGGAGACGTGGGCATCTTCCCTCTGGACTTCATCAAGTCTTCGCTGACTTTTTCCACTCCCATCAAAGGAAAACACAAGCTGAGGAAGGTCAACACCAAGCCGGAAAACGAGGAGGAAGACGAGGCCCCTGCAGCGGCGTCAAAGAAGGAGGAGGTTAAAAAAGAGAAGGTAGAGAAAGTGAAAGGAAACACAAAGACTCCACGAACTGTTAAAAGTCCTGCAAATGGAAACGGAGCCGTTCAGAAGTGAAATTTCAGAGTATTCTCTCTGTTGATCAGGGATTTGAATGTTAAAGCTCAACCAGACTCTTTGTATGAAAGATAATGTTCGACAGTTGTATGTCAATAACAGGAGGTTCAGCTAAGCTAAATACAAGTACATAAATATGAACATGCATATGAAATGTATGAATTAATATCCCTGAATCCAGAATATGCCAGGTAGTGAAAACGTGTTTCATCGTGGAATGAAGTATGTTGCAGACAGAATGTGAAATAATGACAGCAAAGTGTTAAACTAGTCTTCAAAGCTTTTCTGTTCATTGTAGTAAGACTGAATTTGTTAAATGTTGTTTAACCTATTGAAATAATAATGTGACGCCAGGAACTACTGATTAAATAGGGATGGTAACACTATCACTGTCTGCTTAGAGGCATAATACAAACCCCTGCACATTACCACAGTGTGTTCTCTACTGACTTTTTGTACAACAATGATTTGTTGCTTTTTATAATAAACCCCCCCCAACAACTTCTAATGCAGATTGTGATTGCGTTTTCTATCTGTGGTCACCAGGGGGCGTTGTGTGCTAAGAGACTGGAGTTTAGTTAACTTCAGATAATTGTTGAGCAGCAAATATCAGCCGTCCTATTTCCAAATGGCAGTGATCACTGACTACAGACATATGTGTTTGTTTAGTTTCGTCTCTCGGCTACAGCAGCGACTGCCTTAACAACTTGCTAACGATTTGTTCCATATGTCTGATTTATAAATGACTACAAGCGTGACAAAGCTCAGTTATGCACATTAGGAAAAATGTAGTTTAATTCTGCACTCTTTGGTTAAGCAGCAAGCTGTGTACCCCTCTTTCCTTGCTGTTTGACTGAGTTTCAGAGTTTGTTTGTTCCCTTTTACCCTGCTGTGAGCCTGCCTTTTGAATAATGATAATTAAGTTCAAATACCACGTATTGAAGAGAAGAGTATAAAGGTTTTAGCACACTTGCCTGTTAATTACTCTTCATTGTCCAACCTTGGCCTTCTCCCATGTCACACCACACAATGCATTATTTAGAGTGGGTGACTTTAAATAAATGCAAAGTGTTTTTAAAACATCTTCCTATGAATATTTCATGGGTAAAGTCAACTACCCTGCCTCGGTTGCACTGGTGTGGGGTTACGATTAGAATCAGCAGCTCTCGGAAGTGAAGAAAGTCTGCATTGCGCTGTGTCGTGGGCTGCTGCAGGACATATTGATGGCTGAAGTGTCGCACTTTATCACAGTCGCTGCAAACCCATATAAATTTCAGGTTTATGATTTAAAGGGTTGGTGGTTCAATGTGGGAATATGAAAGTGCCTGTGTGTTTTATACCAGGGCCTTTGGTGATTTACAACCTTGAAATATGCACTGAATAAATCAAGTGTCACTGTGGGAATCACACAAGTGTAAAATAAAAACCAAAGTGCCAAAATGGAAAAAAAACAACTACTGAATAAATAAAAAATCCAATTTAATGCACTAGATACATTTAAAATAAAATAAGTTTTTCTGTTATTTCATATTTCTGTATTTTCCTTTACAGTTCCTTTATGTTTCAATATAAAACGAGCTGGCCGACACCAAAGGCAAACACGGTCCTGTGGAAACTTTTTTTCACTGGACTATTATTGCAACACCTTGATTAATCTATTCAGCTGTAGACTTCCTTTCATGCTTTGAGTTTGTTCCATGGCCCAATTTGGGCCAAGCTTTGGTCTCACAGATGGCCTCACATTTGATTCTGGAAAATACTTTGGTATATAGAGGAATTCATAGTCCACTCAGTGACTATAAAGTGCCCTGTAGCTGCAAAACAAGCCTGAATCATCAACCCTCCTTTGCTGTGCTCTGACAGTTGAGCTGTTTGTGCTGATAATGCTGTGCATTATGGACAACATCTCCACTTTGGTCTCATCTGTCCACGGGACATTGTTCCAGAGGTCCTGTGGTTTATTCAGATGCAGGTTTGCTAACAAAAACCGTGCAGCCATGAGAGAAGCGACGTCTTCTCGGTGACACTTCCAAACATGCCGTGCTGTTCAGTCTTTTTCTAATTGTGCAGTCATGAACTTTAACGTTTAGCATGCTAACTGAGATCTATAGAGTCGGTGGTGTAACTCTTGTACTTTGTCTTTGTGTTAGACTGTTTGAAACTGGAGTGAATTTGTTTGAAAGTCCACTCCTCAGGAGATTGTGGCATAAACTTGACTGATTGATTGACTGCTTTGGTCCTCCATATGTAACACCTTAGGATTATGGGAATGTTGAGGCAGTCTTTGCACTCCAGATGCATAGCTTTGCTATGACTTATGAAATATCAATCTAACCTGAATGTCATACATATGTATAACAACATGTCTACTTTGTCTTCAAAATCTTTCAAACCAAGTGCTTGAATTACTCCAAATGCAACTCAGCTGTTGAGAGTTTCCTTTTTTCTTACTAAAGTTATTTATTTCCTTTAAAACCTGTACAAACTCTGGAGCAGGAAAAGGGTTTTGTACAGCTTTTAACTTTTAGTAAAAATGAGTGAAGTTGCTCTTTAGTACTTTTGTCCTGTTGTTTGCCTCGGTGTGGACTTCGCAGACACTGGGGCCTCTCTGTCTGCCTCTGATTTCTTTGCTGGCTCCATCTTTGACAGACCAGTCCAAGGGAAGCTCCTGGCACCAGACTCATCTTACACGAGGTATGCGCAGCCTCGAGCTTCTCGGATAGCTGAAACTGTAAAATATTGTTGTAAGCTGTAGGAATAATTCCTGTGTGTGTTTGATGAACCTAAATCACTGTGTATGAGACAGCAGGAGGGAGACAGGTCTTTGTATAGAAGCTCCATCATTTTGTTCTCATTTCTGCTTTTCTGACCCTTCTGCTAATGCTGAATATTTTCTGTGAATGTTTTACTGCTGTGTAAGTACACACTGCTCGCCATAATAACTCCAGGCTGTGTGCTGGATGGGTCCGTGTGTCCTTTTGACTGTGTGGGTGTGGGATATGGCCTGAGAGATCTCTGAATGGGGCTCTTTGTGTTTTAAGACATTACTGCACCCAGATGATGGTGGCTGCGTCGCCCGCCAGCTCCTTAAAAATCACAAAAATGCACAAAAAAATACAACTGAGCTAAATGAATGCAGACACATGACTGTACAGTCATAAGCTATAGCATTACTGAGCCTCGTCCAAGTAAGCTTTTAAAAATATCTAGAGTTTCATTGTTCTTTTTCCTCTTGTAAACAGGTGGTGAAAATCCAAATTAAATACAGGAATCCCTTTGTGCAGCAGCACAGCACTCTACGTCTGATTGTTCTCTTTTGTTGTGAATGGCCTGTGCTGATCAGAGCTTTGCATGCCTATTCAAATAGTTGCCATCTGGAGAGGGGAGGAGATGAAACAACTCCAGTTATGAGGCTTTTAATCATGAAGGCAACAAACAGTGCAGGGACCAAAAGGATGCGAATTAAATGAGGCTGAGAAAAGATGTTTCAGCTGCTGATAAACCCTCTTCCTATTTTTCTGATAAAAACATCGTCAGGTGTCAGAATTAAAAATGCCAGCCCACACCACAAAAACGGAACAAGAAGCTTTTACATCAGTCAGGGAGAAATAAACTTGCATGCTGCTCCCTGCATGATCCGATGAATGCATGACATGCAGGCATAGCTCTCCGCCCCATTAGCTGCCCTTCATTAAACCTCAACTATTTCGACCGAGTCTGGAGGTAATTTCAGGACCTTCAATCAGAGTTAATCAGCTGGGGGCTTTGGTCCTGCGGTGAACTTGGGATCATATTCTTGAGGCTTTTTCTGGTGATGTTGGCCTCCATGACAGGACTTTCACTGCAGGAAAGTCAGCCTAGGACACAATAGAGTTTGGAGGTATTTTTAGATAAATTAGGCAACAGTGCAACCACAAAAACATGTTCCTGGTTAGGTTTAAAGTATTAGTTTCACAGAGTCATGTTCCTTGTATTATCTTTGGTTCCTATTATTGTCCTCAATTTTCCTTTTTCGTGTGTCTCCTGTGTTCCCCTCAGTCTGTCCCCCACAGTTTGGTCTTGCTCCTTTTTTCAGTTTACTTTGTTTTATTTTGAAGGTCCGCATGTGGTTTTTTGTGCTTTATCTTCTCTCTGATCTTTTTTGAGCCATCAGTGACTGATTGAGTTCACCTATCCTTGTTCTGTAATTAGTCTGTGTCTGTTCCTTAAGTCTTTGTCAGTTTATCATCTCTACAAATTATCTTTACAGAATCTTCCCTGGTAATGGATTTTGTCGTTTTTATATCACTTAACCTGAATCATGCAGCTCGTTTTGTTTACTTTTTGTTTTACAAAAATCCGATGAATGCATCGGCGAGAACACTTGAGTCGGTATCTTGCCCAGGGATACTTTGCCACACAGACTGGAGCAGCCAGAGATCAACCCACCAACCTTCCATTTAGTCACCCCCAATCCATCTGATGGTCTCCTACTCCACTTTTCTCTCACTCATGAGGAAGATTCAACGATACATAACAATATCGCAAATTATTTACATTTAAGAGATAGACATCATCATACAGACTCTGTATCTAGAACCTAGTTAGTCTTTCACTACTGTGTCCTGGGTAAAAAAACCAAAAACACAACAGCTAAGCTCTTAGTTCTTAAGCCAATGTGAACGAGAAGTCCTTTTTGTAATCATAAAGACTTGAACATTTAGATTTTTATTACATCTGAGGAAACAATACAATACAATGCAATCAAAAGTTCCCAAACAAAAGCTCGGCGCAGGATTAATTTTGCATCCTTACCAGCTATCAGTCACGTATACTTTACTCTATGCACTTTTAAAACATATCAAAACATTTCCTTATGCCATTTTAGTCCATAAACCCCATTAGAACCAATCGCAGGAAATATTATTTGAGCCAGACTCACAGTAGAATAGAAAGTGTCACAGAACATGCTGAGAGAACACCAAGTGCTAGAAGGGGCACACCGAGTATGTAGAGCAAGTTCAACAGTACACTGAGTCTGTGACATTACAAAGATCTGTTTTTAAAACAGTAACTTTCTCCATCCATTCAAGT